ATTTCTTCTGCAAAACTCCCTTCCCAAGCTTTCCTCTGGGAAATTTCCCAAATACTTGCCCTCTCGTCTTTGTGAGACTTTTAACGGCCTATAAGCAGCTGACTTGGAGATTAATGAAGAGGACCCTGCAGACAGCCAATGTTTTAATATACAAAAACAAAATGAAAAAATTGTCTGATTATTTAAAGGGTCAACTGCAGTGCAAGTGCTTTTGATTTTGCAGCGTGAATGATAATGCGCAATACATGCCTTAGAGCTGCCTGATACTCAACCAGACCAGCATTTGCTCGGCTGTGACATTATCAGCTGACTGTGCTACAGTGATGTGGGTAATAAAAACAAATACTGATGATCCAACACAAGGAAATGAACAAAAAGAACAGGACATATTTTCCCGCCCAACTGACGTATCATTTTTTCTTAGAAGAAAATTCAAATTCTTGACTACATACTGTAGGACATGCAGGCGCATGTATCAGTCTGCTGCTGCACCGAATCCACAAGTGGCCTTATCTTTTAAGAGCAGATATCTAATAAGGCCCTGCTTACAGGATCCTTTCAAATAGGATTTATTCAAACTTCAGCCAGATCAACACCCGCAGAAACATTAAAAACTGAGTAGTTGCCTCGCCGCACAATTAGTAGACAGTATGTTCTCTAAAACTCTCCAAGATGCAAAACAATCTCTAAAAGATTGCCAGGATGCTAACATTTCCAACTCGATAATGATACCGATGAAAATATATACTAAATAACATTTTCGATTCAAGGGGAATAAAAAATGGCAACTAATTCAAAAAAATAAACAGATTTATCAACAATATTTTCCATCTCAAAGACTCACAAATTCTATTAGAAAAATAAGTGTGCAAATATAATACAATATTTTTAGGTTGTTTGAGGTATTTTTCTTGTAATGCCCAAATAATCTCAAAATTTTAAATCAACAACATCAGAAATATGTAAACAAAACTTGTATTTAGTGTTGATAACATTTCAAATTAGTATTGTATCCAGGTACGGTGTTTAAGTATTGATCGATTGACTTTATTGATCTCAGAGTGGAGAACTTTACTCGCTAAATCAGCTCAAAAAGTCAAAAAGAAGAATGTGCCAAAGGGTGCAACATATATATATATATATATATATATATATATATATATATATATATATATATGTATATATATATATATATATATAGCAGCTGAAGTCTTTTATTTAGCAGGATTATTATACAGGGTTATTGCACAGGGTATTAAATGGGTATTTATATATACAGCTATTGCACTGGGTATCGAATATAAAAGTGGTTATTGCACATTAGATATTGCACAAGTTACTGCCATTGTAGTGTTGCATTGTAGAGTCTGATGGCAGCAGGGATGAATGACCTGCGGTAGAGCTCCTTTTTCAAACATGGTGTAAAAGTCTTTCACTAAAGGAGCTGCTCAGCTCCTCTAGAGTCTGCTGCAGGAGACGAAAGGTGTTGAAGTTTGGAGAACACCCTTCTCTTAGCCACCTCCTCCACTGAGTCCAGAGTGCTGTCCCGCTATCAATACTTTTCAGAGTATCAATTCTTCCGACAACCCTAACTCTCTGATTAACCAGGCGACCCAATGCTGAGTCGTACTGCATATATCAGGGCTTCCTCATTAACAACGCAGGTTTTAAAGTTGCACTTTGGAAGCCATTTCCAAATGGCTCAGATTTCAGTCTCTGTTTTCAAAATCCGCCAAAACTTTGTGAACATTGAGAATAGAAACGCAAACAAAACATTTCATCTTTCATAAAAAAACTCGGAAACTCATCTGGTTTAATTACGTAAAAAATCTTCTATATTAAACCTTTGGTTATAAATCAACAAGTTCATCGATTAGCAAAATAATCATTAGTTGCAGCCCTAGTTTGAATAATGGTGTTTTTACTCAGGGGAACGCCTCCTTAAGTACTTAAGTACAAGATGGAGGTGATGCTTCCTTTAAGAGCGACTGCATACTCTTTCAATCCTCATTTTTAAATTTGCTGTAATTTAGTTAGAGAAGAGGCTGCTCTATGTTGGAGCATAAATGTTAGAACCTTTGAAAAGAGGCGCTTCACCAACTTGACTTAGACAAAATATTAAACATCTACATGGTATTCCTCGTTGAGTCCTTCCCAACCCTACCAGGAGAGTGAAAGAAGGTAAGTGCATTAAGAGGAAGCAGATGAAAGAGGATTCTCAGGAGTTGCAGGAAGGAGGAAGATGATGGTTAGAGGAGGAGAGAGGATAAGTGGAAGATGAGGTGGAGGAGGGAAGGAGGGGGGTGAAGGCTGAGTGAGAAACTGCAGGCATGAGTGTTGAGTAATGAGTAAGGCAGGGAGGAGAACGGAGGGGAAGTAGGTGGGACTGCGTCGCTCTGAGGCAGATGTATTGAAGCGGCGGCTGGCGGATCAATAGGATGAGCTCAATCAGCAGAGATCTATAAGCTCTGACCCAACTTTAGCTGGCTGAGAGTTGAGATGCGTGTGAGCATGAGTGCATCTATTTATATCTACGCTGACGTATGCTGATATAGTAAGTGGTTACCTGATTTCCATAACAAACTGTCCAATTCAGGTGGAGAGGACGGCTATAAAAGCCTTTGAGAAAAAACCTCAATGACAATTTTTATGGTCATTCATTACATAAAAAAAATAAAGAAATACGAAAGTTTCAGATTCATTTAGCATTTTTAAATAATAACATGGCATTATAAACAAAATAACCCCTCAATGAATGCTAAAGCTAGCATAAATAGATTTTAGAAAGGTCCAGCCTCAGGTCTGTCTGCATAGAGCTTGCAGTTCTCCCTGTGGATGCGTGGTTATCATTGGGTGCTTTGGCTTTGCAATCCAAAAACAAAGCTGTTAGATTAAGTGGTTTCTTAAAACTGGTCTTATGAAAATGTGTGTTGTTAGTCCTGTGTGTTTGTGTTGTCATCCAGAGTATAACAAGCCTCCCAAATAGGATCCCTGTAGCCAGGCAGTATTAGATTTGCACATTTAAGAGCAAAAACAAAAAAGAATAAAAGCTAGAATATGGAGTGAAAACAGCGAACACATCAGATAACTTGATCATCACTTACTGACAATTGCATGATAACTTTAACATCTTCTGGCCAGCTATAGAGTCATAATAGGGACATATCTGACTTTATCTTTTTGAACACTTTGAAGTTTACTGCTGCTTATTTTGCACATTAGGGGAGTTTAAATAGCAGTTTTAAAGAGGAAATCCAGACATCTATAGGTGATCAGCTCACATTTCTGCTGATCATCTCTAAAGGCAGGATATGCATTAAATTTAAAGTAATAGTAAAGAGATAAAAACAGAAAACACCTAATAAAGGTTCACATCCATCCAAAGGGCTTAAATGTCTACTTTGTTTGTTTCTGTATTTGTTTTAGACCCAACAGGACAGTGATAGATAAACAGGGATGGTAAAAGCGTGCAAACATTACGCTTAACTGGAAAGGCTCTGATCTGCATCCCTTGGTAGGTTTATGGTCTATACGTATAATCAAGGTCTGCCATATCAGAGCCTGGAGGTACAATTTTAAGAGAAAATTCATGCAAAAAAAATCAGACTTATATATTTAAGCTGATGATGCATGTATGCAAACTTCAGATCAGCACTGCTGCACACGAGCACATTTGAATACATGTACTTTATTCATTAATTGCACTGAATGTTAAGCATTTAGAGCTTATTAAAACTTTACCCTTTGCTCTATTATACTCATTTTCTCAGCTGCAGCTCAGAAAGCTGGTGGTTAGATGTTGCGTTTGTGGTCGTAAAGAGCGATTTATTTTCGTTCCTCATATGTTGGCCAACTGGGGGAACAGAGGGGGGGTATTGTTGGGAGCGCCTGAGTTGTTGTTGTTTTTTTCTTTACTTTGGTTTTAACCAAATGAGCTTGTGGAGCTAAACATCACATCACACTGATCTGAGCATCTAGGCTGCATCTGAGGTATATTATCTTCCCTTAAAGTGAAAGTAAGATGTAAGAGTGATGATAGAGAATTTTAGCTTAAAAATACAAATAGATAAATAGATTTTCACCATCTGGTGTGCAACAAAGAACGTTATGAAGGATTTTATTGTTTACGTGGTGTTCATGTGACAAAACAGACAGTATGCAGTGAATAACAATGTAGTAGGGAGGTTATTCATGGTTTCCACATTCAAATCTTTGAACGAGAGCCACACTTGCCTAAAGACTCACCTTGTTCATCTATTTAGCTTAGGTGTGTGACTATGTCTCCATTTTCAGATGATGGAATAAGTGGTTCTGAAACAGATGTTTGACTTTAACCCTCCTCTAAACCTCCACACCGCCTGTTCCACCTCTCTGCAACAGTGGGCTCCAGTCTACAGACCCTATGATGGCTTTCCTTATTTTAAAAGCTAAAAATACAAATTAACTGTTGGTTGTTTAAAATGGCAACAGATTCCTATGGCAGATTTTTCACAAAAATAACAGCTTATGTTTTTTTGTTTTTTTTTTTAATCATGGAATATTTTGAGGCTCTAAAAGACTTTTACTTGTCCTCGACTCAGGGAAAAATGCCTCCTTAGATATGAAAGGTTTTTAAAATAACCTCTGAGGCCTTCACGGAATAGGTGGGATTATTACACAATAATAACAGATTTGAGATTATCATAAAAAATAAAGTATTAAAAGCATATATATGTATATATTTTTTTTATTATTGATAGGGAAGTCCCTGCTTGAGTATATTCTAGCCAAAGGGCATGGACATTTATTAAAAAAGAACATGTGCCTTAAGATACTTTCTATATCTTGATACTATGCATCAAAAATACTATGCATATAAATTCTGCTTAGTGTTGTTGGAGCTTGGCTTTGTTGCAAACCATGATGTTCCTTTTTAGGGGTTGGTTTGTGGTTGCATTTCATGCACATGGTAATTCTCCTCATGCAAACATACTCATGCAACAATATGCATGTGCACATACCCAGTCTTCGTAGTGCCTGGTACCGTTCTGCAGCAGGTCCTCCAGCTGGATGGTGCAGTTTGCCACGAAGTCATCGTAGCCAATGGGAGCATCGTGGAACACCGACAGCTCCAGGCTGCGTCCCTCTCGAACCTCGGTGCAGAACTCCTGGTGCCAGGCCGGGCTGTTGGTTTTGGTTCTGGTGGCAGTCTGGCCTAATCGGGTATGGTCCAGATTTAGGGCCAGGTAGGGATCCAGCAGGAAGGAGCCGCTCTTCCCTACGGCGTGACGCAATGCCCACGGGGTGGGCTTCAGGTCCACCGCTTCACACACCCGAACCTTCAGCAGGCCGTTGAAGACGGGCATGGCTGCGATGTGTGTTAGTGGAAAAAAAATAATAGCTGATTGTGTGTGTGTGTGTTTAGGTCTGGCTGTTCCCGCTCCTGGACGCAGAATGTTTCCTCCCAATGAGCAGGGGGTCACAGCTCAGTCCTGCTACATCCCATAATGCCGCTATGGCTCCTTCAGTCCAACACAGCCATGTCACCGACACGCTAAAAAAAACAAAACAAAAAAACACCATTAAATAGCAAACCCTCAGCCCCCCACCCCACCCCACACACCCTCTCTGATGGACGCGGCGGATGTTTGTTTATGTCCGACTTAAAATTCCCCGTTTGAAGGAAAAACAGGCGGGGTTTGATGGGGAGGAAACGCGGTGTAACCGCTCTCTCACGCGGAGCTTAGCGGCAGTTCCGTGAGCGTCTCCGCCGGGTCAGGGTGGGAGAGCGCGAGGGCAGCCGCGCCTAGCCATCCGGGATTGGTGCTCCGCTTCCAGCCTGTCGCGGCTCGCTCGCTCGGTCCTCCTGGGGGTTAATACTATCCTGGCTTCAATTTCCCACCGCGGCGTTTACTCTGTCATAAGGAGTCTTTTTTAAAGCAACCTATATGCGGTGTTTCTTCGTGCTGCTAACACCTCAAGGAGCTCCGCTCCCGATTACTGTTTTTTTCCTTCTTTCGGAGCCCTGCGCGCGACCCTCGCTTCCCGTCCCCTCTCTCTCTCTGTCTCTCTCTCAATCCGTCTGTGAGTGGGTATGGCAAGCACTTTTACCATATTATATAAGGTTCTCGGCTGAAAATTGCCAGTGGCGGTTCTAGACCAAAATTACCAAGGGGAGGGGTGTGGCCGGAGTTCATGGGCACAAGAAAAAAGTGCATCATTAATAATATTTTTTAATACAGTGGAATATATTATAGTGATCACGTTGGTCCAGAGCCAATTTGAACACTATAAGCGGTTGATTACTATATCCGAATTTACCGTTATTTCACTTATTTTTTATGCAGAATATCATCTAAATGCCCTTTGTGTGGTTTTTCAATGAGAAAAATGAAATGAAACAGATAGCTTCTGCATTTATTGAATTTTATTACAGTAACATGCAAGTTTAATTACAGTATACTGCGTTGTGTGCAGACATAACTCTGGTAGCCTGGTGCCGCCGGTGCTTTTTTTGTTAACAAGTCTGAAGTTTGAAACAAACGGTTTCATATAACAGCAGCATAGAAGATAACTGCATAGGCTACATAAAATTAAAGATAGATTTTGTGTTGCGGATCTGCAGCGCCGCATTAAGAAATCACTTCACATATTTATCCATGGTTCCCTTGTTCAGAGTGTCCAACACCCAGTTCACTTCTCTTTCAAAATGATGTAAAAGGTCAAAGTTTTTTAAACCAACATGCAGGAGACCAGTCTTTAAAATGCAAACTGCATTCCTCATCTCACCTCTGGAAGGGACAACAGTCTCCACATTTTCATTCTCCTCCTCTTCCTCGCTGCTTGCAGCACTGGTACCTGCACCAAAGCGCTTTTGTACCTCCGCGATGATGTCCTCATCCGTCACGGGCTCTGACACCGGAGTGCTGCACTTATTAATTATTTTTGCACATGTTTACATTCATAAAATGGCCAAAAATTAACACTATAAGTGGATTTCTTGGTTACTATAAACTAATTATTTAAAGAGCATTTATATAGAAATTCTGTCCCAAGCCTTTTGAATACTATCAGCAGTTGATTACTATATCCGTGACCACTATAAGCTGATTCCACTGTGTTTTTATTTATTTTTTGTTGCACACAGAACAAAGCACAACTTGACAAACATTTATCATTGATATAGTGTGACATTACAGTGCATAGGAGGCATTCAGGTTTTGCAATACATGAGTCAGTCTTTTCCTCTTATGTAGGAGAGAAGAGGATCCCAGATCTTGTGATAGTATTTCATTTTGTCCATGTTGTGATACCTGATCTTCTACAGACTCAACACGTTCCCCGTTTCCCTCAGCCACACCTCGTAGCTTGGTGCAAAGTCACTTTTCAACATCTGCAGGATCATCTTCTTTGCCAGAGCCATCCCGAAAGAGACAGCTTGAACCTCAAATGTATTAGCCAAAAGAAGAGCCCCTGTCCCTCCCCAGATGTCAACCAGTGGGTCTGGTTTAAATGTCTTCTTAAAGGCATCATTAATGATATTAAGTGAGCCACAAAGCCAAGGTTGCAGATCCCTGATAAATGGCTGGCTTTAGACAGGGGCCACATAGGCCATCAACCCCAGTAGAACTGCCCCTGGCTCCTATTATAACCCCTTTACTGAAGACACAACAAAAATAAAGAAATTCTAACTATAATATGCACTGACGTATATTAACAGCCATGGTGACGGTTCCCTAGGCTCATTTCATTGTTTTTCTTAGACTTTGTATACACAGAGCGTATGCAAAATTTGGTTTAGTACAGCTTTCATGACATTTCCATTTCCTAAAGTGCAGCAGTGGTCAAATGTAAACAGTGTGGGTGAAAAAAACATGGTGCAAAAAAAAAAACAAAAACAAAAAAGCGAATTGATGTGGAAGTTAAGAATACTAAATATTTATGGTGCAGTTATGCAGTGTTTTGGTTTGGTGTTGTCAGTGTGATGCAGAGTCTTAGACATGACTTAGAGTTTTCTCAATAGTTCAGAAGTCTGATGGCGGTTGGGGAGAAGCTGTTTCGGAATCTGATGGACCTGCATCGAATGCTGCGAAGCCTCTTCTCAGAGGGCAGCAGGGAGAACAGTCCATGGTAGGGGTGTGAGGGGTCGCTGATGATGTCAGGGGGCTCAGGACGCGCAGCGCTGGGATGAAATATATTTTATGGAGGGAGGAGGAGCCCTGATGACCTTCTCTGCTGTTCTCACCACTATTCTCACTTTCTTCCAGTCTGAGGCGCTGCAGCCTCCACACCACACAGTGAGACAGCTGGTCAGAATGCTCTCTATGGTGCTTCTGTAGAAGGTGGTGAGGATGGGTGGGGGCAGGTGGGCTCTCCTCATCCTCTGCATTAATGAATTAATCAGTTTCATCTAAGTTCTAATTCTGATTTAATCAAAAATGATCATTTTCATTTAAAGTAACTCAAAAATCTCTAATATTCCTAAATTGTGACCTAATATTCCAAAGAATAGCTTTATTTTATTTTTAGTAGATATATTTTAGCAACTAATTATTTCATTTGTTTGTTTTCCTATGGTAAGGGAGAATTTTGATGTTAGGTAAATAAAATTGACATTTTCAAATTGAACATCATAACATTTAAATAAAGGCATGGAAATGGCCCTTCATTCAGTGCAGACACACCTGGTTCTACGGCTCTTTTAATGTATCTTTATATAACTTAAATGATAAACTATTTATCTTTTTTTTATATATATATTTCTGTTCCCCCATTAAAACATGGTAGCCCCACTCTGGCCCCCATAGTAAATTTGGTCAGAAAACACCACTGCCCTGATCTCACAGTGGAAAACTGTGCTCTTAATACAACTGGAGCTTAAAGCTGACTGAAATTTCGAATTGTTTATATGAATTCTAAATGTGAAATATTAATTTGGTTGAAGGGAGGGATCAGCTATAGTCTCTTCTGTTGTTATAAAGGATTTATTTAGTATTACACTGCAAAAATCGATCTAAATAAGTAAAAATTTTGTGAAATAAGTGCATTTGCCATTAATTTGAGCAGATAAATAAGATAACCTGACAAAGGAATGGGTATTTTTACCCTTATGATAAGATAATTAGACATGATGCACATAAAATAAGATAATGAAGTTGTTTTTTCCTATTTTAATGATTAACCATCTTATTCCAGATTGCCTTACCTACATTCTCAAATCAGATGGAAAGTACGCTTAATAAAAAAAAAAGAAGAAGAAGACTTGACTGCTTTGCAGTTAGTGCAGGGGTACTGCCCCTTGTAACCCCCTGAATGGAATCGCCCATGCAGGTGCATCTTGATAAATTTAATTTAAATTTTATTTTATTTCAGTAGAAAAAAAAAGCTATTTTTGTTTGTTCTGATTTCTTACTGCTACTTTTGATACACACACTCAACGAGAACTTATTACAGCCAGACAGCTACTATTTTAAATAGTAGCTGACTGACAAGATGAGGTAGGCTGGAGAATTCTAAAAGACAACACAAAAAAGGCTTTGAGACTCTAGCAGAGACTATATGCACATATAAAACATTGAAGATTCCTGTAAAGCGTTGATAACTTACCCATAAGGTTACAAAATAACCTAGATTAACAGTCTAAAGCAAGATCAAGCCCTTATGGTTGATTTATAGATATTTTACTAAATCGGTTTTTTGCTTTTCTTACTGTATTGGAATGGAAACCTATCTTTGAGGCACAGAACTATTGCAAATGGCTAGTTAAGCCGATTGGTAAATCTCAGCTTAACCCAGAGTCTCTTTATACCTGACAGGATGACCAGCTCCATTTTAAGTGATGATGATTCCCACCCCTTACAAGGGGAATTTCAGTGTTTTCCCTCTAAGTGAAAGTTTATGGTCCCTGAATGCAAAACAAAGGAGTAAAAGGAGAGCTTAGTGCAAACTGCTGTAGTTTATGTGAATGAACTAAGACAAAGTTTACACATATCCAATGTATTCTATTTTTTTGGCAATCTATTTTTAGTTGTAGTGTTTTTTGTGCGTTGATTGTGATCAATGATTGAGCATTACATTACACAGCCAGTGGAAAATGTAGTTTAAAAAAGGCATCATACCTAATATGCTGGATGCCTTTTTAAAACAGGAGAGCTGTTGTGTTTATGGCAGCTAAACATTATTTATACAATCCATCATAGAAGGAATGCCAGTACAGCCAAAGCTGCTTTGAGAGAGCATGTGGGGAAGGCAGAGTTACGTCACTGTCAGTGCCAGTGGTAGGCGAACTCATCACCCTTTTGCCCTGTTCATTAAGCGTATGGAAGCATATCCACAGAGATAGATCACGATAACCTAAGCCACGCTAGATTTATTTCAAAGAAAAGTTTTAAGGCCATTCCTGAAGGCAGACAAGGTGTCTGCCTCTTGGACCAAAAGTGGAAGTTGGTTCCACACGAGAAGAGCCTGAAATCTGAAAGATCTGCTTCTCATTGTACTTTTAAAACCTCCAGGAAACAACAGTTTGATTATCAAGGGCTTTATACGTGACAGAGAGTATTTTATATTCAGATATAAGAGAAAGCAAGTGAATGGAAGATAGAATAGAAAATGTGATATTTATTTCTATGTTAAAAGTGAATTCTCTAACAACATTTTAGAAAAACCTAAAGGCTTTCAAATCCAGTAAAGATTTATTTTTAAATTAAATCTTCTAAAACCCTTTCTAATTCTTTTTTTTTATTTTGTTGCAAAAATTTTAAACACTTATATAGAATATGCATATAAAGCATTGTCATGATAATATAATGTCTCCAGATAATTTGACTATATGACTGTTTTGTGACATTTGATGACATTTGAAACAAGAAAAAGATAAGCTTCTCTGAGCATTAGAAATGTATGTTTTCATTTTAAAATTTAAAATAACCTGAACTACAATATATGGGAAGTATTATACTAATTGTGATGTAATCTAATCATAGATTTTTCAAATTTTAACTAAATCTTGACATTTTGACTTGACCAAAAATCCGGGGTGGTTTCCTAAATAT